GTGCACTCTTGTGCAATACTGGTAGTATCTGTTTTATAATTATTTTGAAGCGGTTTGGAAAATACGGAAGGAAGTGGCAGTCAGATGGATGAAGGATAGACGTGGCGTGAAGAGAAATGGCGTATTTCAACTTGCTTTGCCCTTTGCCTTCGACTGTTTACCGGCACTCGAGACTGCCAAATGAACCTGTGATTTTCGCACCAAGGATTTAACTCGGTCTAAGTAAATATTACACGGTCCGTTGAATTCGCCTTGCTGAAAGGATAAAGTCGACAAACGTTTAACGCTGGGAATTTCTTTGGATTTGGCTGTCGCATTAGGTTTGCTTCGATGTTAGGTTAAGGTGTGGAGTGGGTTGCATGGTTGTGAATCGAACTGCCTTGGCTTCTGTATTTATACTAGCGACCGGAAGTGCAGTGTAAGGGTTAGGGGTTGAAACGATTGGCTTGTGTAGCCGCGATTAGACGAGGTGCTAACATGCCCTTTGACTCTGCTTTACCAACCTCTGCTACTTGCCGTATAACTAACCTGACCTAACTTCAGAAATTTCTCAGCCCTAAATATATTTATACCCTGTCTACCTTTATGCTCCTCTATCACACAAAATACTATCACATATGTAGATCTATAAGGAGACTAGCAAATCCCTTGTGTTTACAGTAAATTACCCTTCGGGTAGTCTAATCCTTACGAGGGATGAAATTTTGGAATTGCTACTGAGTCTAAGTCCCGGATGAAATTTGTCTTGGCTAAACGAGGAGAGAAATAAAGAAGAACGAAAATCCTTATTGTGGCAATGTATAAGTACATCAATTATTTTATTTTTAAATATAGCATATACTACTAGATATCAAAAAGTAACAAGAGATATTTAGAAAGTAGATGAAAACAGCATTAAGAAGAACCAGATGGAAAACAAAATGGGATCCTAGCAAGTTTTCCAATCTTCGAACTCTGCTTGAAGACTGAAGCTTTGCAGTGAGTCGTATATCGAAGCACACAATGCTCTATGATACACAATATAAAAACATAAAAACAGCAAGATAAGGAGAGTCTGTTCCAATCTTCTATACTTTCCATATCTCTCTATTACAGGCAATCATATGCATTCCCAAGTTACGAAATATGTATTAAATATTTCTCCGAAAAATCTGTCGACACTTTTTGGAATTTCTGATGTTGCCAGCCACATGTGTTCAGCAGTAATATTTTCAAGAAAAGAAAATAACGAGACTTATCAAGATATTATATTAAGAGAGAGAGAGAGAGAGAGGCAAAAACAACAGAAAATATATAAATACATGTAGTGAATAGTAGATGGACGAGCTGCCTGAAGTTCAAGAAGTCATCGTTCAATTAAGCCGATTATCAGTAAGGATTATCAGATACGTTCGCCCGTAACGAGAATCCACCACTTCCGTTATTTCCCAGGTGGACGAAAATCCTATATCTATTGGCATCGTAAATTCAAAATTATCCAAGGGACCGTAGCGCCTCTACTTTTGTTCCCTGGTTATCAAGAGAACAGAAGTCATGATACTCGTAAAGAGGCACCGTATTTCGACTCAGTCTTTGAGGAACAACAGCGAAGATATCGTGGTAATACAGAAAGAAATGCTATATTTACGCTTCTATATTTGAGAAATATACTATACACCGTTACAGAACATGCGGCTAAGCTGGCTAAACGGACGCCGAGTGGGGTTACTGCAACGTCAAGTGTCAACGTATATATACACATATCCAGGAACTTTAGAATCCTTCGAGAACCTGGACGTCGTTCTAACGGATAGCGATCAGCAGGATATCGACATTCTGCAGTCGTCTTCCGTTAGAATTTTAAAATCCTTTTACCACGGCGTATGATCCCAATGTCACGTGTGTACGGGGCTTTAAGTTTCTTTATCCTCTTCGTGGCTCGTCCAAGCGAATCGGATATAGGTAAAGTTCTACAGTGCCGTAGGATCTTCACATCCGTGTACTTGGATAGGTATTATCAGTATGTGTTCGCAGTTGCCGGGGCATCGGATGGAGGAGGGTTGGCGCGAAGTATAAAAAGAAGAAGCAAAAGCAGATAAGAGAATAGTCACTTTAGGTACCGCGAGAAAAATGCACCCGGCTGATTAAAGAGATTCTCCGGGATCGTAGAAAAACGAAAACTCCGCGAGGATAACGGAAGTCGGAAAAAGAAGTCTCGTTTTCAGGGAACGTTACGCGATTCTCGTAGCTCATTTTGCGCCATTGATATGGCCAACTGTACCTTCGGTTATCGATAGCCTTTTATGCTCATTCAAATCTTATTCGATATTATCGTTTGAGAGCGTGGGAATTGTCCGATCTGTTTTTTCTCTTTGAGGAAAATCTAACGGAATCCGTTTTGTATGCCTTTGGCGCTTTTGTGCGTTGCTTCTTTACTTCCTTTTTCTTATCTTTCTCTCCTTTTAATCTTTCTTGAGTCGGCTGCGCCTTTAGTGCTCTTTGTGAATATATTTTCATCTTGGTATTTTCTCCTGATTAGACTTTCCGATACACTTCCTTATACGTTGCTTCGAAATATTGGATAACCTTGTTAATTTCTGATGGCACTGATTGCTGGTAGCGATGCGAGCAAACGAACGGCTGCACGATGGTCATTAACCCTTTATTGTTGATTAATCACTAGTCGCTTTGACGCTGAATTAGACACGTGGTCCGCATAAATTAGTGTATAGCGTGGCTACGAGGGGTTTTGAATTTACTGGGATAGATGATTCTCTTATGGTATACTCTTTTTATATATATAGTTACAGGTACTAATGTAAAGAGCGTGAGAGCTGTAATTACGTAATAATTATATAGAATAATCATAATAACATCTAGGTAATACCTGGCTATGTCAATATTGAACTACCAATGCCTGTTACATTTTCATCAGTTTTATGAAATTAGTTACTTTTTCTTGCACTTCTGTCAGATATCAAGAGCTTACCTCACTGGACATGTTTCTTAAACGGACTTCATCGATCGCGTAATCTTCCAATAATAGTACGTTTAGCTTGAAAGATCCTGCACCAGGTCGTCTCAAAGGATCAAAAATTAAATTCCTGATTCGAGTAAACACGAGTGCAGTACTTACCATTATTACTTTATCGTAACAAAAATTATACTACGAATAGTTTAAAAAAGACACAATTTGTTATTTAACATTTTTCTACAGTATTATAAATTTCCATAACAATTAATTTCTATAATTTATTTTTTGTCAGTAGCACGATTCGTACGAAACGTGACGCGTTTGGATTTTCCACAAATTATAAACCCATTCATCTCGTATAAAATATATTCGATAGTCAATAAAATAGAATAAATCGAAATTATCTTTAACAGTACTGTTGAATATACTGTATGACATATTTATATACATATAGTAAGCCGATCTAGCGAACTTTTCGAAATTCATTTGAAACTCATAGGCGATTACAGTAAGCGAAAAGCTGTAACGAAAAGAAACAACAATCATATTGGTGCCCGCGGTCTTCTCGGGTGAGTTTAAGCACCCCTATATCTCGAACACAACTCGCAACATGTTCGCCAGCAATAAGTTTAGCGATTGCAGCGGTGCAGTGGAGGAAATTAAAACTTGTGCAATTCGGGATCCCTGGGCAAACCCCTATGGGGTTATCAGCCCCAACTCGCCAGTCCAATGTTGCAGAGAAGACCTATCTAAACTACGCCAAATGCATTCTCCAGGGTAATCTTCATTCTCGACCTACATCCCTTCCTTTCGTATGCGTGAAGTGTTCAAAGATATCCAACGATTTGGATTTTTCATCATTCCACAGAAGTATCTGATATAAGGATTAACTAATTCTAGGATAACTGTCCTTTTACGGTTTTATCAGTCGTTCTAAAACTCTATGAGGAATAAATTATCGGATAGAAAGAGATTGCCTATTTAACCTGCAGAGCTTCTAGTCTACGCACAAGCTTGTATCGGGACCTACATGCTCAGCTAAATTAAGTAAACTATTTATGCAGAATAATAGGCTGGCAGTTTTCGCTTGGTTATTTATCGTACATGCGTGTACAAGTTTGAAAATGTTGAATATCCGTTAACTATGTGTAGAGACACGATCAGCACGTCGAGTCGAATAATTATTTGGAAAAAAAAAATATTTTTTGTATTTCATTAATGTCAAATTTTGTTTGATAATTTGTAAATGTCATGGCTCAGTCAAAATTACAATTTAATTATCTTTATAATCATGCAATTTGGACTTTATGATTGCTGCTTTGAACTGAACTACATATACAGAATATCACCAATTACAGTTTTTCATTAGAATTTGATTCATGCCTAAGTGATATCAATCATCGAAATATGTAGGCAAGACAATCTTCCAAAACGTCAATTTCCTAATCAAAGTTTAGTTATTGCTAATATCGTATAAATTGTCTGTCATGTCGATCAGTTCGTAATTAATTTTTGATCGCGAGTCAAAAATATTTTGCCTACTAAAGATATCAGCAAAATACCTCAAATATTTTCTTTTACAGCAAATCCATTCTCTTTCTACGCCACTATACGAATCCGAATATAACGCAGTCTATGCTCACAAAGCGTAAGCGCTTGCGCTGAAAGCCAAGGGGCGAGTCGGACGGGGTGAGCCAAGAGGGGTGGTAGTAGGGGATGTAAGCCTGAGCTTTTGCGGGAACAGAATATCCACGGGAGTCAGTACAGTCCGTGCCGCGACGCTCGACCTGACCGTGCAGCGTCGTGGATTGTCGAAAAATAAAAAGCTGCGTCGTGTTAATTTTTCGAAATATTTTTGAAAAATATTTTCAAAATTTATTAAAATTTTTCTTTGCCTTATCCATGATTAAAGCATGGTACGACATATATACGCATAAAGCATGTACGATATATAAAAATGTGTACAGCATAATGTGGCAGACAGTGAATTAAGGCACGGTAAAGTTTTGAAGTTTTTTGTTTTGAATTCTATACAAAACTTATCCATCCATTTTAAAGTTCATCGGCACATATTTATCGAATAAAGTTGATTAGGAATTACGTGCCAAAGTGTTGTATCGAAATGAGTGTATTCACGTGAAAAAGTAATGTAAAAGGGACAATAATTGATAAATCTATAAATTTTACGCTTGAAGCTCACAGCACGTTACAACCATTTATCGTATTTTAACATGCACGTTAATATGACTGAAAAATGGAAAAACGAAGGTGGCGTTACCAAAAAAAAATATTTTAGTAGAAGATAGTGGTACAATAGGAATGCGACATTGTGCACGTTGCTATACACCGACGTGAATGTTAACCAAGTATAAATTACGCAGGTCCGCCATTATCGGATATCCATTAAAATACTCGAGGTAAATTTTATTATAATATGTACACATACCATTTTTCTAGAACGCTTTGACACTCGGTAGTTCTTTATCAAACTTTGCTCTGATTCAATTCCGTGTAACTAGATAATGATAGGTAATAGCTTTTATAACAATTATTAAACGTGGAAACTTTAACGAGATTAAAGTACGTTTGAAAGGCTTCTGTAATCAGTTGAATTTCTGTTTAATTGAATGGATGAGATATGATCGATAAGAAATTATGTCGATTTAAAATGTCTGCCACATTTCAATATTTTGTATAACTTTATACTGTCTCCCATAAATCATAATCCTGCATATATTTTATTGTATTTCAATATCATTTTATTTATAAACTTTTGTCCTCCAGCCCCATAAGCTGCTACGAATCAGTGTCAAAATGTGCTAACACGGCAATATCGAGTTAAAATCAAGTGACAGTATACTTGTGATACTCGAAACCGGAAGTGCTCATCACTGAATTCAATTTTCAATTGTGGATTTTATATAAACGAGACAAGTTTTGGACGTGTTGTCTGTGCGAAGTTAAAACTGACACTGTAATATCATAAAGGATTAAACGGATTGACGATATTTTGATTAATCGATAAATCGATAATACCAAGGGACGTGCATCTACACGTAGATTTATTCGTGACAATCGACTGGTGATATCGATCAGAGTCATTGACCTGATATAAAAATTGGAAATTCCTTCTCAAAGAGGTAAGATCCTATATGACTAATAGACCTTTACGTATTTCAACTTTGCCGTCCTTTTTCTTGTTTTTTCTTTTCAGTTTGCATCCCCCAATTCTTTTTACTTGAGTCTAGTCCGTAGACACCCGAGTCTCGACGCCTGCATCTTTAATGCAATTGGCTATCGATCTTGTCTAAGGGGTGGTGTCTTAGCAGTGGTGATAATAAATCCTGCCATTCCTTAAAGTGTAAGCTCGTGTCCTTCTGTCAGGATAAATCAAAATTGGGCTTGGTTCTCGGAGTGCAAGCAACTGAGATACCTGTCCCGGAATTTGTGCTTTTCTCTATTTCAAGTTGGCTAGCCGTATTCAAGGATTGCTTGGGATTTTATGGAAGAAACGAAGGAATACTTTACGTTTTTCCATAAAAGTTTCTCAGGACTACGATAAATCACCGTTTTCTCTTAATCAGCAGACTCCTACGGGGTTTTGGTCTTGGAAATAATAAAAAGGAATAGAAAAGGAGCTAGTAAATCAGGGCGTATCCTTTAATTTTCCTATCCCTTAATTCATCGAGGTAATTTGCAATCATATTTCACGCCGTAAGAAAGACTCCCGTAATGATGGTAAATTGTCCGTAAAATTACAACCGTAACTTTGCAGTGCACCAAGCTAACGAGATTCTCCATGGGCAGCGCATACGTCCAGCAGTTAATTGGCACGTTGGCCAATATACGTACAGCTATAGCTGTATATCCATATTCTCGAGGAAAAGTATGGAAAAAAAATGTATAAAGGCAGTGGTGAATATATCCATATACAAAAAAAAAAAACGACAGAAGCTTTTTGTACATCATTTTGCACGTACAGATTAATCCCAATCAGTTTGATTGACATCGACTAATTTGTAGACATGAAGTTAAAATTGAACCTTGATTATTAATGGTCTCATTGCCGGGTTCAAAATTCATTCCATATGTAACGTATACGTATTGATATACAGGGTGATTATAACCTCTCTACCTAGTTTATTAAAGCTGTGTTCCTAAGAAAATTTTTATTAAGTTTTTACTTCGCGAAACTTTTAAATGCAAACCACGTAGTTATGACATAAACACTTGCAATATGTTCTCAGTGCGGTAACAAGTATATTATGATACTAAAATATACAAAAATTCTTCACTACATCACGTGAAAATTGACGATTATCTATAATTTCTTAAAAATAATAAAACTAGATTGTCACAACGGTATAGAATTTTCCGAACGCCCCGTAGATAAGGAAAGCATCCCCGTGCAATTAAACGAAGCACCCCAACGGCAGAAATGCGTTTAAATATTATTTACTCGTTCCGCTTCAAATTTTCGTGCTTTGCTTAATGTCGCGCATGCAGATGCCCGCCCTCGATTAAAGAGGATATCCTGTGCGTCGTAAAAACTTTTTGCGCGAGAACTAACAAAATTTACCTCCAACGCATCGTCACGTCATTAGCGATTTCATAGAATATTGGTCCATAGAAATGAATCTGTGATATCAAACGAAAGAAAGGCAATGGGAAAATTAAATCCAAAAAACTGCAAAATATTGCCTGAGCAAGCAGCAATGTCTACACCGTACACGTAGCAAGGGTTCTCCTACATTCACGTAACATAAATCCTCCACTTTGCACGAATCGACGACAAAAACAAAATTGGGTCGCTCGTAAAGAAAGTCGCCACGACAATGCATTTGCTTCCGTGGAAAAGTGTTATATACGGTCACGCTTATATGTATACACAGCGTCTGGAAATGAGTAACGTCCAATAGCAATCTTGTAAATAAGAACACGATTAACGTCACGTGCACGTGCTTCTGCGTCCCAATGAAATAAAAGAGAACGACGTCATCACGATTAACGATTTAATTCAGGGATCCGTGTAATTGCATGTTTTAACGCCACAGGTCCGTTCTATCTGCTATCACTCTGTCCGACATACCACGACCCTCTAATGCGATAATAACGTGAAATTAATAGGGAAATATATTCCCGGGTATGTTGGTTAGAATTTGCTTGATGGACAATTTTATATAAAATATTAAAAAAAATAAGGCGTGACTGAAATCTAATTAAACAACAAAATAACAAAAAGAAACTATGTCGATTAAACGACCGAGAGCTATAATCATATGTATATAAAGTCAATTTCGAAAAGAGCAGCTTTCCAGTTCCCTGCCATTTAAGGATTTCCATTATCACCGTACACTAATAGGACTTCAGCAATAGTTCAACCCCGTAAACATATGAGGCTGCTAAGTGAGACAAAGTACACTGCTGGGTTATGGTTATCGGCCGTGCCCATTATCGACCAATATTAAATGCCAGTAGGAATTTACATGCGATTAGAAATTAAGGCCCTAAGCAATATGAAATACCCTATATGAATAAATAGCACCATCTCCCGTAAGCATTGTTACTACGTAACGCAAAAGTAAAACGATACAAAGCAATAGATTGCTTCTACGAAATAAAGCTTCGTCTAGCGTTCCCACTTGGGTCGGGCTGAAATAATAAAGTTCCGATGATCATCATCCCCTATGCGTTTCACGGAAGGCCAATTAATTTAGCCAGGTATACTTCGAGCTTCTCGAATAGTTGGAAACAGCCGCCATAATGGTCCCCGGTAACGTTAACCTTAATCGAGAATTCGCAACGGCAGTAGCAACCGGTGCGGCGCATTATTGCACGCGGATTTAATTTAGTCTCGAGTTAGGTTAGCTGCACGCTTTGTGAATATCAATGCGCAAAGGGTACTCGATGTTGCGGTATGCATCACACTCTTGTCACACGAGAGGTCGGCTATTGCCTCCCAATTCATGTCGTCCGATGCGCAAACATCGAACCTTTGTCGGGAGGTGCTTCCCGCGGTTTAGCAACCTCACGCGTGAGCGCCAATTAAACTCCAGTTCCTCTCGGAGAGTAGCGGTTGAGTAATTCGTTAAAGGAGAACGAGAGCAGCAATTCAAGCGTCCCCTTAGAAGAAATCTCTCTTTCTATATTATGTGTATAGTATTATTAGAATAACAAGGAGAATAGTATAGGGTGGTATTAGGATTGTAATGGTGGGTTCTTGAAGGGATTTGACAGGAGCAACCCTTATAGGTAATGGGATTTGAGGGCAGGACGGTCCCCTTTACTAAATGTTCAACGAGAGAGTCTATATTTAGTGGGTAGGTAGGTACATGTGGAATGAATAAGCAGAATGAATCGCTAATGAAAGAATAATGAATCCAGATGGTCGGTTATAAGTCTTAATAACAGTCGACGGTTTTCTACCTTGTTTCGTTCTTAAAAAAGAGGGGGTTGGATATCATGAGAAATATGAGTTTCATTAGAACCAACGTTAACTTACACCTTCCCCTTTCTGTTACTGACGCTCGATACTTTCTGTTATCGACGCTTATCGCTCTTATACCTGGTTCGCTGCGGGTGGGAGACACTCCAGAGACTCCGTGTCCAATTGAAATAAGTTTTCGTACCTTGGCAGAATTACGCAAGTTACCCCCTCTTTACGTCCCTTTGATCGACAGGAACGAGCCTCTTGTCACTTGAAGTCGTATTAAAATACTAGACCTTTGTCACAAGTCAATTTGATATTCTATTTATACTGATAAGTTAACCTAACCTAATCCAACCATTCAGAGACTCTCCGATGCTCCGCACAGTGGGATTAATCTAATTCAATCACCGTTAGGTTTCTCGTATTACTGTACACGGTCATTTGCGTACATCGTAAAGGCTTGTTCACAATATTTCAATGCTATAGGTAATTTTTGCTTGAAATAAGTACGTGCCTATGTTACGTTTGAAACTAATTCGTCAGGTACCCTTTAAACATTTGAAGCATCGATTTTTCTAATGATTGAATTTTTATGAAATTTGGTATACACGGGTTTTTGGGGTCGCTAATAATTAGGAATCCATTATCAGATTTAAGATTCGAGATGGCGAATTCGAGACGGCGGCTGTGGAAATAAGAAACCCCGATAATATTGGCGAAAACATAAATTTATATGGTTTTCGGGGTCACTGATTACGGATATAAAATTTAAATTTGATCATTTGAAAATTCATTCATTTTTGGCACTACCCAGAGCTAACGAAGAGGACGTGACGAGTTCTACCTTACTTCTCTTTTTGTGATTTTTGTAATTTTAAAAAGTATGGAATGTATACCATGGATTCGTAATCAGCCACCCCGAGATCCCCAGATACACGTTTTCATGAGATTTACATAGTTTTTCGATTTTCAGTCCGTCATATTGGATCCGTCAAATTGAATTTATGAATTTTTTGTTCAGATTTGTAATCAGCGACCCCAAAAACTCTTTTGTACAAAATTTCAAGAAACAATATTAAAAAACTTTGTCAATAATGAATTTTTCCGAAAAAATCGCTCTTTTTCATATCCTATGTTTACCATTTATAAAGTTCTTACAATAAATATTTATTATTACTCAACGTTTTTCATGTTCTTTTATTAGATACCTAAACATGCAAAAAACCCGACCTAAATGCGTTAACTAAAAATTAAATGGTCAAAATTTTAAAAAGTCGAGATGGTAACGTGGGTCACCACCATCAAAGGGTTACACGGTTTCTCAAATTGGTGCCGTATCGTTAGGAAAGTATGTCACTTTAAAGAGGGGTAAAAATAAGAAATTTGAAAAGTCTCAGTTAAACGCAATAGCAATTAAATTCCTATTTGCTTCGTATTAATTGCAAGTAAGCCAAGAACGTTATTTATTTTCAAAAAAATTATTTACCATTCGTTAATCCACTTTTACGACCTCGTGACGCATATTAAAAGTAATCTATTCAGTTTTCATCCTGGCATACTTTATTTCTTTGCTCTTATGGTCTCTTCTTTTCCTTTCCTACCTCTTCATACAGAAATAAATCCCCACCAGTGTGGGACTGTTATATTTAAACGTTCATCGGGCAAATGGAGGACGTTGTGACGCTGGTAACGTGTACGTATGTGGGCCCG